TCTCTATGGACAGCCTGTCAGAGGGCCTAGGCTGTGTGATGCTGCCCAGTGGGCTGAACAGTCCACTGTGGACCTGAATGGTCCTGAGTATCCCATGGAGATGGTGAATTCCGAGCTCCATCCTCCATCAGTTGAGAACTGAGCTAATATCTCAGAATGGAGACATCATGAAATCTCCAATGCTCCAAAGCCACCCAGTCACCTGAGATAGCAGAGAAGGATGTGTGCTCTGATTTATCACAGCATACGGCCGCTGGCTGAGGGGGCCAGAGATCAGGAACCAGGGTAGAGCCTGCCATCTGGGCTCAGCTGCTCCCAGAGTCACGAACAGAAGACAAGTGTCAGTCATCTGGTTCTATCGAGAGCCAGGCCCAGGCCATTGCTCTGTCTGAAGACCTTCAATGGCCATAATGGAGGTCTCAGGATGACTGTAGAGCCATAGGCCTGCGCTTCTCTTTGTTCTGGGAAACAACATTGGTCCCCCTGCTAGAATCTATGGAGAAGGGAACCCACAAACTTGGTATAAATGCAGCCCAGCTAGGGCATGGAGAGCCTTTAATTCAGGTAACGGAAGCTGAGAAACTATGGCCTTTGGATTCAAGGCTAAAAGCACAAATCATCATTTTTTTAAAAATGTGAAGCGATGGCATTGGGAGAACCATTTGGATGAGTCTGATCCTATTACACAGAGGTTAAAAACCTCAGGTATTTACTTAGCGGTGGGAAGCTGTCTTGTCACAACAAACTCTTCCTACCGCCAGTTGTAGCACACAGGACTTCCGGGCGTGGGAATCTAGGTATGCTATTTAAAGCAGATGCAGGGTCAGACTGCTGCCTGCCAACAGTCCTTTCTTTGGATCAAGTCTGATTCTCCAGTTCTGGTTTGCAGAAGTCCCTGCAACTAGCTGCAAGGCCAGAGGAGATCCAACCAGCTTGTTACACACATACACACACACACACACACACACACACACACACACACACACACACACACACACACACACACACACACACCCTGAGAACTTCCTGGCAACACATGGAGATCAAAAGGCACAGAGGCACTCAAGCTGTGCTTATGGAAAATTGGTCCCCCACACCTACAGTAGGGGAGATGTGGGGTTGGGAAGAGGACATCAGACTCAGCATCTTACCTGGCTGAAATGTGTGTGTGTGTGTGTGTGTGTGTGTGTGTGTGTGTGTGTGTGTGTGTGTGTAAGGTATGCTATGGTCTTGTGGCACTTCAACACTTCAAAGATTGGAAAAAAGACATTTCCTGTGAAGGGACCCTGAGGCTATGTCAGCATTGAGAACATGGGCAAGGGGGTTGAACTCTCTGCTAGAAAGTTTGACAATCAGACGGTCTTCGATCTCTTTCTCTGCCATCTCTTCTTCTTTGTAAGATGGATAAACACAAGGCCTTCCTCCCTGAGGAATAGGGATCTGAGTGGCAAGCGTCTTCTTGATGGGACCATTGGGGAAGAGGAGGAGGTGAGGATGGGTTTGGCCATGGGACCAGTGGTGCGGATGGAGGTTATGTTTTTGTACTCAGCGAAGAAGTTGCAGGCTCTCTGGGAAAATGGAACCAGATGGGGCTGCGGTGGAAGGGTTATTAGCCAATAGACCCCCTAGAGTTTCAACTACAAGGAGAGAAGGGGTGATTATAGGGGTTGCCAGGCAACCCCTATTCAAAGGAGAATTTGAATCCTGGAGGAATCTGTTTAGTCAGGGGAGGAAAATGTATTATAAAATCAAGAAGGGACAGAAAGGCCAGTGGGAGGTCGGAATGAACCCCCTAACCAAGGGCTCAGGCCTAGGTGTCTACACCAATGATTCTATTTGACCTTGTAACCCAATAAAAGGCGCCAAAATTAGACTGTAGGTTTACCAACTTCAGTAAGTATAACATATAATCTATAACACATTGGAGGGTCGAGGAGGAAGAACAGAGAGCAATGTGCTGTCAGGGGAAAAGTTACAGCTTTGTAGTCAGACTTGCTGTGTGACCCTGGGTGAGTTTTTTAAACCCCTTTGAGCTTCAAATGTCTCATTTAAAAAATGGATCCAATAATATCTACCTTGAAAGAATGTAGAGAGAATCTTGTAGGAAATGCATATGAAGCACCAAGCCCAGTGCCTGGAAACTGTAGGTACTCAGTAAGTACCTTATTAATGAATACTTATTCATTGAGCCACACTGTCCAATTCATTGTCTTGTGCTGCTCCCCATAGCCCACAGACACTGTAAATTGGGAACCAAGTTATGCTTGCCATAAGTGTGCAACCTACACCACGTTTACAACACCCGGCACAAAAAGTAAAGATTGTAAATTGCCTTTTTTTTCTTTCTTTCTAATTTTGTCTGTGTGAAATAATATGTTGAATGTATCAGGTTAAATAAAATATGTCACTAGTACCAATTTCACCTGTCTTTCTACTTAATTTCCTGTGGTTATAGGAAAATTTAAAATTATAGCGTGACTTATATTTTATTGGCACCTATATTGTGGGTTTGAGCTTGGGCTTTGGGTTGTCTTTCCCCTGTGCTGCCCAGAAAAGACTCTTGGGGGGAAAATGACATTGTCCCCTGATGGACCAGAATAAAAGTAAGGTCCCTGTGGCACCCCTAGTGGTCGAGAAGGAGAAAGCAGGGTAGGTAGGGCAGGCAGGAGAAGACGGAGATTCCAGTGACAGACCGGTGGGAGAGTCCGGGCCAGCCAGGCTGGGAGAGTCTCTTCTCAGCCTGGAAATGTTTCCCAGTCCTGTCCCTTTGTGTCAGGAGTACAGCCCCACCCTTGTTTTAGAATGAGGGGGGCCCACCCCTGTTTCACAAGACTCCCCCGCTCTCACATGGAGTTGGCAGGAAGCAAGCTCTGGCCAGGCTATAACACACACATGCAGAGAAAACACCTCTTCAAAGTCATCTTTAGAAAAACAACCAGAGTTTCCAGAGAAACGATCGGAAGACATTCACGGATGAGAGTATGTTCTTTCTTCTTCTTCTTCTTTTCCTCCCTCCTAGGAAGTGTGAGTATGGTTCTTTTTGAAAACTATACATTTCACTGTACTTTTTTATGGAGAAGATTGGCATTTATCTTCTGACCACAGGAACATTTCCTCCCCAAACTCCAGGTCAGAAACATGAGCAGGTACTTCTCATGTCACGACAGAGCTTGGGCACTGACGAGGAAGTCATTGAATTGGTGGCTCCCTGCCTTGTCCACCCCTTCCCCTCTGGGAGTCAAAATCTAAAGGCAAGGGAAGGTGGTGTTTGAAAATCCTTCCAGCATAGCTACATTTGACAAGATGGATGGGAAAGATGGAAAGAGGGGGGAAGGAGGAGGAGGAAGAAAGCAAAGCAAGCAAGAAAGCAAGCAAGGAAGGAAGGAAGGAAGGAAAGAAAGAAAGAAAGAAAGAGGAAGGAAGGGAAGGAGGAGGAGAAAGAAAAAGAAGGAAGAAAAAGAATAATGAAAAAAGGAAGGAAGAAAAAGAAGAAAAGGAAGAGGGAAGAAGAAAAAGAAAAGAAGGAAGAAGGAAGGAAAAGAAGAAAGGAAGAAGAAAGAGAAGAAGAGAAGGAGGAGGGAGAAGGAGAGAGAAGAGGAGAGGAGAGACGTGGTCTCAGGAGGTGCTGATTTGATCTGTTAATGAATTTGTCAGGAAAGGATGGGGGAAGAAAGTAGAAGACAGGAGAGCAGAAGGAAGTGGAGAGGAGAGGGAAAAGAAGCAGAGGAGAATGATGTGTCTAGGAAGGATGTGATTTGGGGGTTCCTTGGCCGAGCCAGAAGACAAGCCTGCAGAGACAGTGCTGACCTGTAGTGTGTATGTATGGCTTACGCTAAGGTCCGACGGCTCCATCCCGGTCTGAGCCCATCCCTAAATAAAGCCCAGAATAGTGTCACCCTTGTGCTTTGCACGTTGTGTAGTTGACTTGCAGGGGAAGATAGCGGTGCATGGAGAAGGCTGGGGAGAGACCAAGCATGAGCGGGGAGTTGAAGGGAGGGAGAGGAAGCAGCCAGGGCAGGGGCGGCTGGCTTCAGGACCACCCCTTCTGTTCCCGTCCTGTCACCTCCACAAACAGGTCCTCTGCAGGGAACAAGGAGGAAGCAGCCCGCCCCAGCACCCAGCCCTGTGCCCTGCTCGGACACAGGACACTGTCCTACAGAGGGGAAAACAAGTTCCCAGACCCCTAACATCCCCCTCACCCCACCCCAGGAGGAAGACAGCTTTGCCCCTGCCCTGGCCGGGCAGCTTTCCTCCAAACCTCTAGAATATTCTCCTGTGTTTCAGAAGGCTAGGAATGTTCTGGTAGCTTGTGTCCCCAGTACCACTGAGCTGGATTCCCTATACGGGGAGTATACTCAGAGTCCAGAGGAGCTAAGGGAACTTGTGACCTTGCAGTATTATCTTGGCGTTTTTGACACATTAGGAAACTGAGGGCAAAAGGGAGTAGAGGCCTCACCCACGTCAGCCGGTGCCAACCTGTATGGCAGACTCAGAGCTTCTGGCCTCAAGTCCATGGTGGTCCTCCCATCATCCCTCACTGCTGTCCTAGGAGAAGCCTCATTGGCCAGCAGAGGCCTGTGCTGACTTCCTGTCCCCAGCAAACAGGCAACCTCCCTCCCCCCTGGAAACGTGCAGAGTAAGATCCTCGCTGCCCTTCAGCTCGGGGCCCTGCCCACTGACTCCTCAGAGGTCCTGGGGTTACCCTTGCTGGCTGTGGGTGCTGTGTTTCAGTGCCCAGCATGGGGTGAGGGTGTGGCTGGGAATCATGGGGTCTTCACCCTGCCCTGCCCTGCCCTGCCCCAGAGGAGACCAGAACAAGAGGCATGCTCGGGTCCTGTCAAGTGATAATAAGAGCCGTTAACCCAGGGGCTGCCAGACACATACTCGGCCATGCAAAGGACACTCTCGGTTATCCGGAAGAATGAAGAGGAAGAGTCTGGGAAATGGAAAAAAAAAAGTAAATTAAGAAATAAGAAAAACAACACGAGACCCATAAGCAATCCGAAGCCACTTGCTTGTCGCTACATTTGTGATCAGAAAGGCAGAGCTTGTTGCCTCTCCAAACACCCAGGGCTCAGTCCGACGTTTGAGCGAGTCTGAATTCCCTGAGCACACCCCGTTGGGTGGTGGGGACAGGGGGGTCTGGGGAGGTGACATGGGGAGGGGAGGGTTAGTGGCTGGGTGGGAGGGACAAGAGGCCATTGACAGGGAGGCAAAGCTGTCCCCAGATGTAAACATCACCATGGAAACGCCACAGAAAAACTTGCCGAGAAGATCCTCCTTTGCCCTCTTCTCCCCTCTGAGGGAAGCAGGGAGGGTACCTAGCAGCAGGCTACACAGTACTCTCCATCACCCACTCGGAGCTTCCAAATGTCCCCCGGGCCCCCACCAGGTCACTCTCCTCAAAGGGCAAGAGCATGCCATTGACCGAGAGGCTGCGCTTCGTCCAGATGTTCGAGACCCTCCGAGGGGGGCTGTGGCCGCCCAGGGCCACGCCGCCCACCGCGGCGGCGGCAAAGTCCCCCATGTCAAAAGAGTGGCTGCGCTTGGCCTTGCCCTCCAGGGGCAAGGGGAGCAGGCTCCTGGCGCGGACCGCGGGGGGGCCCAGCAGCGGCTCGCGGTCCGACTGGTGGCCTCTGGCCGATGTCCCTGCCCCCCTGCCCGCTGGAGTCCTGGAGCTCAGCAGCTCCTCCTTCCTCTGACTCTTGAGGTCCAGGGAGGCAAAGGCCCCCATCAGGCGGTCAAGGTTGGGCTTGGAGCGAGGGGCAGGGGGTGGGAGTCTCCAGGGCATGCGTCCCAGCCCCGCGGCCTCCCCGCTGCCCAGGGAGCTGGAGGAAGATGAGTCGCTGCCCCTGACCAGGCTGGCGCTGAAGTCCATCAGCTCATTCCTCACCACCACCTTGGGTGGCGCCTGCGGGAGCTGCCCGGCGGGCACGCCACCCACGCCGCCGCTGCCCAGGCTGCCCAGAGGGGGAGGCTGCGCCCCGTTGGTCTGTGAGTACACGTTGCTGACCGTGGCCGCTGCCAACTTTCCCGGAGCCTCGTGGTTGCAGACCTTGTAGCGCACCATGAGGATGACGATGAAGACCAGCAGCGTGGCCACGATGACGCCGCCGATGGCCAGGATCATGGTGCCGCCCAGCAGCTGGCTGTGCATGGACTGGCACTGCGGGTAGTCGGCCTTGGTGAAGAACTGGGCACAGCCCACGATGTTGGTGGCCGTGAGCGTCGTGGCCGTGTCGTCCCACATGGCCAGCACGCACAAGTCATAGCCGGTCCCCGACACCAGGTTGTTGACCACGAAGGCCTTGTTGGAGGCTGGGATCATCCTGGGGAAGGAGGGAGACGCAGAGGGTGAGGGGTGGGTGGAGAGGAAGGACAGGGGGATGGACAGGGGATAGAAGCAGAAGCAGAGCCATGGAAGGGGGCGTGGAGGAGAGAGAAACAGAGGCACACAGAAACACAGAGAAGGAGGCACAGCAAAAATAAAACCACAGAGTGGTGAAGAAACGGGAGGAAAGAGAGTTGGGGAGACAGAGAGGAGAGGGAGGGGGTGAGGGGGGAAAGGGAAGAAGGGGAGAGGGTGGAGAGGGAAGAAGGGGAGAGGGTGGAGAGGGAAGGAGACACAGATAGAGGTTGCAGTGAATGGAAAATGAGGGAGCATGAAGCCACAGAGAAAGAGGGAGACAGAGAGGCGGGTCAGAGGTCAGGTGAGAGAGGGAAGAAGAGAAGCCCCACGGAGTAGAGGAAGGACAGGTGGGGAAAAGTAGAGGGACACAGCAAGAGGCAGAAAGATTAGCGGTGGGAACTAGAGCAGAGATCCAGCAGCAGGCCACACACCCTCTCCCACACGTCTGCTACGGATACCACCCATCCTGTCCTCAGGATCACCGTGCGCACCAAGCACTCTCTAAGCCTGCTGCTGTGCTGAGTCAGAACCGAGGTCCTGCCCTAAGCAATCAGCCCCTCCCTCTCCTTCCCATCAAGGTTTTCCCTGACTCAGGATGGACACTGGCTGCTGCAGGTGGGGGTGGGGGTGGGGATCTAAGCAAGAAAGGGCCGGAGGTGGAGGTCAGATGTGCCGTCCAAAGGGTAAAGTCCAGAAAGCACCCCAGCCCCCCCACCCAGGGGGACGGGTGAACCCCACATCACAGCCACACTTGGAAGAGGCTGGGTAAGCTTCCTAGTCAGGACAGCCCTTTCTGATCTCTTCTTTTTGGGGGACAGCCTGATGGCTCTCCAAGCCGCGTGTTTCTGCTATGCCCAGAGATGGTGCCCGGGTCTGCCCAGAGAGGCTCCTGTAGAAATCTTGAACTCCGGTCCTCTGTACCCCTCTACGGCTCCCCCTGTTTTCCATCCCCACAATGTGAAAAATGCAAAGGCTCCCTCAGCTTCCACCGGCCCTTCAAACCCGCAGCCAGACAACTTAATTGAGATTTCAAATATGAAATACTCAATCGAGGCTGGAGAGGCCCACCGGGGACGGCCCGGGGGATGGAGCTGACAGGCAGATATTGACGTTGTCCTATCAGCTGGCAGCCCTGGAGGCTTCCCTGGCCCCTCCCCCTGCCCCTGAGCAGTGCCCCTGGAGTAGATCTACCCCACATGCCTTGGGGCATTAGTCAGAGAGGGGAGGTAGGGGGGTGCACCCAGCAGCCTCTCAGGCCTGGCCGGGACTTTGTAGCTTCTCCCTGCCCTTACCTGGACATCATCCGGTTGCTCAGAGGAGAAATGGGGCTGAGACTCAGAGAGGCTAAGTGGTTTGCCAGAAGCCACACAGCTGGCACTTAAACACAGCTTCTGGCTGGTTCCTGGCTGCAGCGGGGGGTTGGGGGGGGGGGGGGAAGGGGCCATTTTCCCATTTCAGGGAAGTTTTTTCATTGGTTGTTCTCTAGCTCATCAGCTTCCCCTCCCTCAGAACAGTGCTCAAAGCCTGGCAGTGCCCTCATCCCCGGCAGGACCCCTTGTCTGCTGGGTCATCTGCTGGACAGGGCCAGTGGAGCCCAGTGCCATCGAGGTCACCACGGGCTGCAGAGGTCTCCAGGAGGCTTTCCTACTCCCCAGTGATGCCAGCCAGGGTGGCAGGGCCGAAGCGGGCCCACAGCAGTGACATCAGAGCACACCCTGCTGGCACACGTGCCAGGCTGCCCTCCGGACCCCACAGCTGTCACTCTGGGCAGCCACTGCCACAACCTCACTTTGAAGAGGGGGAGGAGGATCATGGGAAGCAAAGATGTGATGGTGGAACTGGGACCTAGCCCCCCAGCCGCCCAGTGCTGTGCCGCCACCTAGCCGGCTTCCCGGCCAAGGGAGTGCCCAGCCAGGCGGGGAGGGGCTTCTGCTGCGGGACGTGGCTGTCCACGTCACCCCCGTGGCAGCCCCAGGCCACAGGAGCTGGACCATGAGGCCAGAGACCTCCTGCCTGCTCCTGTAAAGCTGACAGCCAGTGGCAAGAAAACGCTCTTCCTCACTCCTCCCAGCGATAACTTAGACGTAGTTACCACTCGTGTGGCCTCCACTTCGCAGATAAGAAACAGAGGCATAGAATGGATCAGCTACCTGCCCAAAGATGCCCATCCAGGAAGTGGTGGAGCCAGGCTCCAATCCAGACAGCCCAGCTCCTCTCAAACACGATTTCATCTTCCTGCCTTACCTGCGCTCTCTTCCTCCCCCTCCCCCCACCTCTTTCTCTCCCTCTACATGGACTTGTTTCTCAAATCAGTGGAATCTGAATGGGATGAAGCTACAGCAGGAGGTATGGCAGGACCGCGTGGATTTGTGGTGGACTCTGGCAGCAGCAAGAGAGGACAGCACTGTATTTGGACCATCAGAAATAAAGCCTATTTCCCAGAGTCAGAGCAAGAAGACAGTCACGTTCTCCTCTACCCTCAGTGTGTGTGTGTGTGTGTGTGAGAGAGAGAGAGAGAGAGAGAGATTGGGCAGGAATAGTGGTTAAAGATAGCAAGAACCAGCAGAGTCTAAACATCCCAGAAGGCACTCCTCAGTAACCAGCACCAGCACCCACAGGGTCTTGTCTTGAGCTGGGAGATTTACTGCCTCACCTTCACTCAGCCTCCTGAATCCCCTTGAGATATTTTTTTTTTATCACTTCCACTTACAGAAAGAGGAAGCAGAGCAGTCTGCACTGTCCTCTAGGGAAACAATGGCCCTGAGACCAGCTGGGATCTACTAAGAGTGATTCCACACCTCTTCATCCAAGGCAGGACCGCTCCTGACTCCAGGCAGCAGAGGATCAAGGTGCAGTGAGAAAGTTCTGTGAAGCGCCAGGGACAGAAACAGAATTCACCTCCCAGCCCCTGGGACATGGGTAGGAATCAAGGGGGCTCTGGGCCTAGCTTGGAAGGTGAGTGGATGGTTTCACTGGTGTTGTGGTTGATATAAAGGATACAAAAGCAGAAAACAAATTCTGTTTCTGTCTTGAGAGTTTGAATGTCGGCCAATTTAAAAATGGATCAAAGACCTTAATGTACGATCTGAAATGTTGGAACTACCACACGGAAACCCTGTAAAATAGTAACAACCTCCTGAATGGGACTCCAATGGCTCAGGGAACAAGAGGAAAGAATGACTAATAGGAGGGCATCAAGTTAATGGCTGCTATACAGCAAAGGATGTATATCCACTAGATTGAAGAGATGGCCCATGGCATGGGAGGAACTCTCCTCTAGCTAGTCATCTACAAGGGTTTAATAACCCCAACTTGTAAAGAGCTCACAAAACTAAATCCTCAAAGCACCGAAGGCTCAATTACTAAATGAACAAATGAATTAACCAGACAATTTTCTCTTGTCTGAGACCAAGATCCCAACTCTTGAGCTGAGGCTTTCGCTCATTGGCTGATGTTCTACCACCTGAGCCACACCCCCAATCCCAATCAGACAATTCTTGAAAGAAGAAGTATAAATGGCCAATAAACACAGGTTGAACATGCCTGGCCATAAAGGAAATGCAAATCAAAGCAACACTGAACTCTCACCTTAGGTCTGTCAGAATGGCCGTCATCAAATCGGGGAGCAATGGCAAATGCTGGCAAGGGTATGGGGGTGGGGGTGGAAAGGAACGCTTATACAGGGCTGATGGCAATATAAATTAGGGCAGCCATTATGGAAGTCAGTGTGACACCTCCTCAAAAGCCTAAAAGTAGAATTCTTATGTGACCCAGTCATGCCACTCTGGGGAATATGTCTAAAGGAATGTAAGTTAGGGTACAATAGAGATGCCTGTGCACTGATGTTTGTTACAGCAAGTGTAATAACCAAGCTATGGAACTAGCCTAGGTGCCTGTCAATGGGGTAAATGGATAAATATATATATATATATATATATATATATATATACACACACACATATGTGTGTGCACAATGGAATATTGTTCAACCGTAAAGCAGAATGAGACTTTGTCATTTGAGGGGAAATCGATGGAACTGGAGATCCTCATGTTAAGCAAAATGAGTCAGGTTCAGAATGACAGCTAATCCATGTTTCCTGTGAGGAATATAAACTGATATACCGAAATATATGCATTTATATGGTATATATATGCACATATGCATATATATTGTATACATGCATATGTATAATGTAAATGCAAATGTGGGACTGTTTGGGGAAAAGGAGGAGGGTGAGGAGGAAAAAGAATTATGGAAGATGAATAATATGGAAATATGTCAATTATGATGACATAATGAAACTCGGCAAAATCTGTTTAAAATAGGGGAGGAGAGGTAAGAGAAATAGAGAGGGCATACGATATATATGGTGCCATGGAGGGATGGAAATTCCCAGTGACACTCCCTTTTACAATTATCATACACTAATCAAGAAAGAGAGAAGTCCAACCCCTCCTTGGACTGCCAGGCTGCCAGTCATGTTCTTTTCCTGCCACCTATGTACATATCCTCTAAGTTTGCTTGCAAACTGATTGTCAAGCCCAAGAGCATGGTTATTTATTTATTTTTCTGATAACTTATTTCTATTATCTGGTCTGCAGCAGATGGGGAAGAATCTTCCAGAGAGTGCCTTGAGAAACTCCATGGAGCTCACTCAGTGAGAACCTCAGCCTTGGCCCAGCGAACCCACCCCCACCCCCACCCCCCAGGCCCATGTCAATAAAATCTTGGTCGTGGAGTTCCTCTCTCCCCTTGCAGGAAGTTCTACCTGCGCAACATATCTGGAGTGGGATCCAGATGTTGCCAAATGCTTTTTGCCCCAGACATTATGCCCTCATTAAGGCACAATGATTTAGAGAATTAGGTTGTTGATGCCAGAGTGAATCACCAGACAGAGACCAAATGAATAGTCAACCTCC